AGGAGGAGGAGGAGGAGGAGGAGGAGGAGGAGGAGGAGGGATTTTATCTACATTTATTATGCAATTCACTTGCTTGTACCTGTAATTGCAAAGGAGGGTCTAAAACTCTTTGTAGCCATTGGGATGGGCTGAAATGGTAGAAAACATCCATTCTTCAAGAATGACTTATCAGTATGGACAATTGCCTGGCTCTTTGTGCTAAGCCAAACAACGTGAACTGTATTGTGTACAATATCAGGGTGGGATAGGGCTGGTACCCTGTTTTGTACATTAAGATATTCATATTTGGAATTGAGCTATTCAGAGCCTTGTGACAGGAAGCAACCCATGGAACATCACTTTGCTCTATGGATTTTTCTAAGATTGAAAATTTAGTGAAAGGAAGCTGGAGCTTCTGACCACTTCCTGTGGCTGCTCAGAGTAATTCCTCGGATGTTAGATTCTTTGACCCAGGGTCACGCACTGCTTAAATCCTTGGTGTGATTTATTGAATAAATCTTGCATCAAAGGAAACCATAAAATAAGACAAGCCAAAATATCAGTGTTCAGATATATGCTAACCCAAACCAATCCAATTTTGAGAGAATGCTGCATTCTGTCCTTATAAAAAGCCCTCATAAAATGCCACACAGCTCTAAACCCCATTGGATGGTGCTAAGCTGCACAGAAGCATAACATCATATGCCTCTGGCTGAGATTCAGTTTGTGGTCCTTGATATTTTAAAAAAAGAAGAAGCAGCAGCTGTTCCTAGATTGTGGGCTTCTCTTGGTGATAGCTCTTGCTTGCCTATAATCCTCTCCTCACCTTTCTGTCTCCCCTCTTCCCTTTTTCTCTTGTTTCAGTGGTGCGGACAGACAGCTTGAAAGGCCGACGTGGTCGGCTGCCCTCCAAGCCCAAACAAGCTCAAGATATTTCACCGGTCAGCCTCATCTCCTCTCTTGTGAGAGCACACATAGATTCTGTACCCAGCGCTACCAAACTCGACTATTCCAAGGTATTTCTCTACAACATCTTTGGAAATGTGAGATTCTGTGCCCTAGACCAGGGATCTCCAACCTTGGCAACTTTAAGACCTGTGGACTTCGACTCCCAGCTTGTGGCTGCGGAAGTCCACAGGTCTTAAAGTTGTCAAGGTTGGAGACCCCTGCCCTAGACACTAGCATTTGGGGGTGTTGAATTTCTGAAACTGAGAAGTGAGAAAATATGCTTTTTTATAAAATGCACACTTGGTTTATTGGTTTGGCCATCTGTGGCTCATATCGCATGAAATATTTATGCCTGAAATATCCCTGCCGAGTTAAATAGGTAAATGGCATCAGAAGAATGGTGGTGGATCTCTCATCCAGTATTGTTCATATGTCCTTTTAGGCAGTGATAGGCATTCCTGTATGGATTTGTGTATCTATGTACTTTTTAAAATTCTCAGTCACCAATTAAAGAGAAAGGTTTATATATAAATATGAATATATTACATTAAAACAAAGTTGTGTGGATGGAAGCAGCCAATTTCTTTTGGCTAAAATTACAGATAGAAATTTTGCCATTGTCCTCTTCATATGACAATTCAACTTTTCAATTTTGCAATGTCAAGTTTTAATTAATTGACATTTAATTACCATTGTTAAAAGTGAACATTTAATACAACATGGCATATAGATTCAATTACCATATATGAACATTTACAGGTTTGATTTTTCATATCTGACCCTGGTGATGGTGCATCAACTTGGGGCAAAGAGAAGAAACCTATGTATAGCATGCATGAAATGTTTGGATTATTGATCCCAGAATTCCCAGCTAGGAATGACTAATGATGAAGCAAATATTTTACTGCATTTGATTACTGATAGCCATCATGTAATAACCTGATAGATAATCTAGGAGCAAACTCTTCACTTTTCAACTTATTAAATAAGCTATTATTTTTAATTTTATGTGGCCTGTCCTACCCATCCTCTAGAGCAGGGCTGTCAAACTTCCGGCCCGCAGGCTGGATGCATCACATGCGGGCCATGTTCATACCAGGTTTAGCAAAGGCGGGGGGGAAGTCCCGATACATCACGTGATGCTGCCATGACAACGTGAATTTGACACCTGTGCTCTAGAGCACATAGTCTACAATGCTGAAGCTCTTCATGCTAGATAGCCTGCCAGAACCAAAGAGTGCCAGAAGGGATTTTATAGGATGCACTTCAGTGACTTAGAGAATAAAGGAACTCTTGAGTGTGCCTTCTAGATTGTGTCTTGCTGATCTCAAGAAAATCACTGCTTGCCACCTCACAAGAAACGCACTGCTTCTTTTCTAAAGACTTGTTTGCTTGTGTTGTCAGTTCCAGGAATCTGTCTCTTATCAGTTTGAGAAGGAAGACTGCATGGATGTGCAGCTGTTCTACGACCTATTGACGGGCTCAATGGACGTGATCCGGAAATGGGCAGAGAAGATTCAGGGCTTCTTGGAGCTTCCAAAAGAGGACCAGGACCTGCTTTTGGAATCTGCTTTTTTGGAGCTCTTCATTCTACGGCTAGCATACAGGTAACATGTCACAGCTATTCCTTTCAGTTAAACAGCAAACCATCATGTCTGTTAGCCCCCTCATCTGGCTCCTAGCCTTTGCAATCTAGAAACAGTTCACATGAAACCATTCAGTGGCTTTGAGTTATAGCTTTGCTTAGCATCATTTTAAAATGTTATGTGTGCTCCTTAACACCAAAGGAGCACAGCAAAAAAGAGGGTGGGATGCCTTTTGTGGATAAGCTCCACCTGGAGGACTTCCGGTGCATTTCAGTGACCATTTCCAAATGCCTCGTCCAGTAGGCAAGGAAAATGGACATTGATCTCTGCAGTGATGGAACCAAATAGCACCAGTGGCTTGAAGGTGCTCTGAACATCAGAACAGGGAAATACCATAGCCTTATGACTTTTGCATCCTCAGTATTGATCATCATCACCATCATAACTACTACTACTACTTACTCAAAGATGATTTTTCAAGAGGCAACTGGACTTTCTGGACTTCTTCAGCTTCTCGGATGAGAAGGGAAATGTCTTCAAAGAAAAACCAGAAAGTCCAGTCGCCTCTTGAAAAAGCACCTTTGGGACAACCATGACCTGGATGACTTGAAAATCTCCATAGACATTTACAATTACTAATGTTAAAATATATGATGGCTGCCTGCTCTAATTATTTCATTAATTTAATTTATACTCCACATAGCTATTGAGTATTTGCCATGGGCAATGATGCCAGTAAGAATGAACTCACTCTCCTAGTTCAGTAAAGTAGAGAACTTCTGGACGGGGATTTTTAAAGGAATTTTTAAAAGCGAGTGTATGTTGTTTTTATTCTTTGCTTGTAACTAACTAACATTTCAGGATTTTTAAAATAAAAGTATGTCTGTGTCTGTGTGCAGCTAAATCAATCAGTAGTACATTAGAGATGACATTTGAGAGACATAGGGGGCTGGCTGCAGGTATCAAAGTAAGAGCAATATTCAAAGTAGCAAGGTAATCCTGCAAGATGAGAAAGGAAATCTGTTGAGATAATAAATTGGATAGCATGTCAGACTTTGGCTTAAAATAGCTTGGGGTGAAGTTTATCTTGGCTTCATGACACCTGCTTGGGTTAGCCACCTTACAGTGTAGCCAAGAGAAGAAAATAGATTATCTGTTGATGCATGCAAGAGCTATATTTGCTGCCCTGAATTCATTCTGAGAGAAGCAGTAAATAAAAATGTAATTCACACAAGCAACTCTAAATGTGATAATTAGAACTAACAAAAGCCACCCACGCTTGCTTAGATTCAGTGGGCCACCCCTTCCCAGCCACAATTGGTAAGGAAGGAAATGCTTGCACTTAACTGTCACCTTAATCCATAGGGTCTGTGGTGATGAGTTGATTTTAGCCCTACCTGGAAAAGCCAGAGATTGAGTTTGGGATCTTCTGCTTAGTTCTGCCATCACTACCATATTTCATTACAGGGGTCTGTGTCTGAGCCTCTTCTCTGACTACACAGTGTTTTGTCTCTTGCAGATCCAAGCCAGAAGAAGGCAAACTTATCTTCTGTAACGGCGTTGTGTTGCATCGTATGCAGTGTGTCCGGGGTTTTGGAGAATGGATAGATTCCATCATAGAATTTTCCCAGAACCTCCACCGCATGAACATTGATGTGCCCTCCTTCTCCTGTCTTGCAGCACTTGTCATAATTACAGGTAGGTGGACAGGAGGGCTCTTGAGAACAATATATGGACAAGTAGACAAAGACACAAGCAGAGAGAAGGAAAAATATATGGACAAGCAGACAGAGAGACAAGCAGAGAGCAGGAGAAGGGAGGGTGAGGGGAATCCTAAGGAGATCAAACAACTCTGCTTGTTAAGGATATGGAAATTGAGAGATTCTAAGCTCTACAATGAGCCAGAATTGTAATGTCTTATTGAAGGGGGCTCCAGATTATGTGAAAATATTTTAACCGATGTCTAAGTCAAGTGTGTGAAACCTGTGTCCACCCAGTTGTTTCAGGTGCTAAATACCAGCTCTCAGCATCCCTCAGCATTAATCATAGCTGTCTGGTTACAATTTAGTAACATTAGGAGGACCAAACGTTCTGTCCCTGGAATAGGATCTAGTATTAGGGAGGTCGAAAATAATCAACTTAGTCATCATAAACCACGTGGCTCAGGCAGCATTTGCTGGAGATCCCTGAAAAAAAGATTCATAGCATCCCATTTTTTGTACACTTTAGGTACACTTTATGTCTTTATGTGATGAAACTGATATGTCCAAAAGAAGGCCTCACTCACATTGCTTGTTTCTGTGTTCATTTTTTGTGAAACATAAGGCAGGATTGTTCTGATGTAGCTGCTGAGGCATAGATTTATATAACTGAGAATTCCAAAGGTGCTTTTTCCAGGAGCAACTGAACTTTCTGTTTTTTCATGGAAGACGTTTCATTTCTCATCCAAGAAGCTTCTTCAGCTTAGAGTTCCAAGAAGCTTCTTGGATGAGAAGCAAAATGCCTTCAAAGAAAAACAAGGAAGTCCAGTTGCCTCCTGAAAAAGCACCTTTGGGGCAACCGTGACCTGGATGACTGAGAATCTCCATAGAGATAACTGAGAATGTTTCTGTAAAAACCACAGCTTCCTATTAGTTTCCACAGCACAACATCAGGGATAGAGAGCTTTGTTAATACATTCCAGGAAAGGTTGTATATCTAAGCACTTTGAAATGAGACTTTTGTTGATTTCTTTAATGATTAATTTTTTCCCTGTTCCTTACCCAACTCTGATGTCTCAATTAGATCGCCATGGGCTAAAGGAGCCAAAGAAAGTTGAAGACCTCCAGAACCGCATTGTCAGTTGCCTTAAGGACCACATGACTTCCATCACCAGTGAGCAGGTACAGCCCAACTGCCTCTCAAAATTACTGGGCAAACTTCCTGAGCTCCGCACCCTCTGCACTCAAGGCCTACAGCGCATCTTCTACTTGAAGCTAGAAGACCTGGTGCCCCCTCCTCCAATTGTGGATAAAATATTCATGGACACACTGCCATTCTGAGGACTAGGTGGAAGGAAGCCACCACTACCATGAACCAAACGGTGCTTTCTTTGGGGGAGAGTGGCTTTGTTTGGGTTTCTCCTCATCTTGCCTCCTACTACCACCACCATCACCATTTATCTTCCTCGGAGGGAGAGAAAAAAAAACTAGCAGAAAAAAGCTTCTGCCACCTTCCATCCAGAGGGAAGTTGGCGGGAATATTTCCAGAGATATTTCCAGAAGAGTGTTTTAAAACGTTAGTCCAGTGGTTGGAGACTGAAAACCATAAACACTGTACGAGCCCTTTCCCCCTCATTCCCTTGACGTATAGAGGTTACCGGGACATTTAAGAATTGCCATGTAATTCTCTCTGAACTTGGGACACCTTGGAGTTTGTATTTTATTTTATTTTTTACTTGTGGGGGAAGCCCTGTGTGCCTTCTCGGGTTACATGCACAATCCCTAAACAATGCTGCCTTGTTCCAGGACCTGCCAACAGCTCTGTGTGCAATCCAGCACCCTTCTTCCATAGTGTTGCATGGAGCCACTGTCTGTGTCACGAATGGAACTTTTACATTGATTTGACAGTTGAAGGCCAGTTAGAATTTTTTTTTTTTTAAAAAAATGGTTGCCTTCTCTTTTTTGACCTTGTCATCAGCCCTGGATTACACTCACAGGTTTGGCAAGTGAAGTTTTCCAACCCTCGGCCTAGAAGCTGCTTGCATCCTGTCCTTGGTGCAACTCTGGGGGTGGGGGTAGGGGTAGAGTTCAGGGAGAGTTTTGCCGTAAATAAGCATATGTCCCTCCCGCCTTCTGCTTAGACAGTGGCTGTTTTGCTCTGTTGAGTAATTTCTTTGTAAAAGATGTATATAAGAAGAACGATGAGTTGGTTTGTAAATACAGAGGAAAGGAAGGCTCTTTGTCTTGAGCCACCAACAGTTGTGTATCGCTCTACACCTGCAGGACACCTTCTGTCTTTATATGTAAATAACTTTGTATTGTAAAGTCCTCCATTTTTGACATTTATATTTGTCTGTCCCTGCTTTCCAATTTCCAGTATGTGACTTTTCCAATTATTAATATATATAAATATATATATTTAATATATTGAATAAAAAAGATTATCCCGGTAACTCTTAATGTAATGTAATGTAACTCTTAATCCCACTTGTTTCTGTGCCTGATCATTTATATGCCAGAGTAGCCCAGGTTCTGTGAAACTAGAGAATTCTGTGCAGGGGAAAACATGGCTCTCATCCCATGCTTCACATCCAGAACAGAAGTGAAGAGGCCAGAATAGAAAGGAAAGAAAAAAAACAACCGTAAGGCCAGAAACTAACACTGTTTCCTATGGTATTTTACACTTTTATAGAAAGCAGTGATAGGCTTTTTTTCTCAACCCTGTTGGGTGATTGGGCCTTTGATGATTGCAACAGGCCTTTTGCACAGAAGGTTGTCTGATCCAAATCCAAAACCTCTAGGGAATTCCTGGAAGCTTGGCATTCAGACAAATTTGCCATCAGCAAACACATAGAAATAAACCTTATTTACACGCCATTCAAAAGAGACAACCTTAAGCTAAGAAGGAAACAAAAAAAGAACAGAATACATTCTCTCCAGAAGCTTATACCCAGATAAGCAGGGATTAACACCAGACAAGCAAACAGAAAACAATACCCTAATCAAGGAACTATCAAGGAGGAAAGCATACTCCCATCAATACTGACAGGGCAAACTACTGCATATAAATAGGGAGCAAACCCCATACTTACTAGCATTGATAACATTACCAAGAAGCTTCAGCATTTGCAAGCAAATAACTAAGTTCAGAGAGTACCAAGGACTTCAGCGGGATGTCCGTGCAACCCCAATCCATTTGTGATGTGACTTTCACACTAATGTTCTGCTTTCTTCAGTGCTTTCAGTTGCTGTAGGTTTCACAGATTTGCTGTAAGCCACAGTTTGTAATCATGTTTTTGAATAAGCCAAACTGATATAGCTACATACAATAAATTTTAAGATTTTAATATGAAATGGCTGAGTTTGGCTTATTCTAGCTTTGCATATTCTCATTCTGACTTTGCATAGCATATAAATCCAGCTGTTACCCACATCCATTTAATGCACATTCACTCATTTGCATGTATTAGCAAGTATACAGCTTGTCTTAAGATACTGGGCCTTTTCATGATTTGCTTCTATAGGACAACTTCTAGAAATATTTCTAAAATATTGTACCATTTTGTTATTTTAACGTTTTAATGTCTTTTTTGAAGTAATGGACAGCCACTTTTAGCTGATTTCAAACAACTATTTCAAGTTAAAGAACCCTCGTGCTGCCTTAATGTCTTTGAAGATAGGAAAAGCTGGAGAATGGGCAAACATTACTTGGAATGAACCAAATAATAGATTTTCACCACTGGAAACTCTGGGTAGCATAAGCTGCCTCCACAGAGCATAGTTAAGCAGATCCAAGTTCAAATCTGGAAAGCCAAAAATTTAAGTTTGGGAGGGAAGTAAAACGCCATCAACCCATACCAAGTTGAGTTGATTGGCTTACCATTTTAGGACTTGATATGGATTTAGCTGAGTTTACATCTGTCTTCTGAACTTTGGCATGAAAAAGGGTGGCTAAAGCAGCCCCACAAAAATAGAGTGGCTCAATGCTCAAAATACATTTTTTTACAGACCAAGACTTCTACCTGTCCATTGGGCCTCCTACCCTAACCAAGCCATTGTGGATTGTTTTTAATTAAAAAGAAAGAAAACGAGACACACACCCCATCAGCCTATTCCAAATGTAACTAAAGTAACTGTTACCTTGGTGAACTGTTTATGAGTTTTGTCCTCTCCTTTTTGGGAGGCAGGGAACATTCTGCGTGAATATTACTTAATTGTATTTTCCCCGTGTTTCATACAAATTTAATAAATTATTGTAGTTGGTCATACCGTCAGCCAGATGTTTAGACTGGACGTGGCATTTTATTCACCTATCAAGATCTCCCCAAGGACCTGAGATAGGCAAATGTTGTTGTTTGATGGTGTTAAAGGTATTGTCGCAGGATGTAAGCTGTTCCAAGTAAAGCTGCCTTTTGCAATTGACAGATGGTGATTTTGTCAGTGCTGATGGTGTTCCAATGGTACTTCAGGTGATTTGTGATTGCACCCAAAAAGTTTATTACTACTGGTACTTTGCTTTCTTTTGCCACAGACATTCTGCTTCAATTTGCTGGTCTGTATTTTGTGGTGTCTCTTCAGTTCTTTCTCTTCTGTTCTGCTGCCTTCAGGTATTGCAGCGTTCACGATTCCAACTTTTTTGTCTTTCTTATTGACAGTTATTAATTCTGGGATGTTATGTGACTGATGCGTGTCTATGTGAATTCGAAAGTCCCAGAACATTAAGCTGCTTCATTTTCTATTACTTTATCAATTTTATGGTCCTGCCAGTTCTTGTTTGCAGCTAAGTAGTGTTTCTTGCAGGTATTGTTGCTATTTTGTCATGTCATTCTTTGTAGTCAGTGTCTGCAAACTTCTTACAGTAGCTAACTTTGCTTATAGTGGTCCATTATTTCTTCAGCTTCTTTGCAGAACTGGCATTTGCTGTCTGTTGCTGTCTTCTCAGTTCTGGTTTTGTATGCATTTGTTCTTAAGGTTCTGTCTTGTACAGTCAAAATTAGCCACTCTTTCTCAGCTTTCTTCAGCTTTCCTGCTCATAGCCATTGCCAGGTTATCTGCTCTGCCTGCTGTTTTTTATTTTTATTTTGTTTTAATCTACCGGCCATGTAATATTTTCCCTTGCCATGTCTCTTTTCTATTCTTCATTTAGTCTTGCTTAAAGACCAGTTATTATTTCATTTTTTAAAATACCTTCTCTGCAGGTAGTAAGTACGTTGTCACACATGGATGAGAGGAAAATGGAAACCTTTCTCCTTGTTTATGCATGATAATGCGTCCAAGAGTATTATTAAACGCTCTTCTGGAACCAGAAATGGTATAAACCAAAATTTTCCCAGCTTCTTCTATAATATACAGAATTGCCTGGGGGGCTGAAAGCCTTCCAGATGAAGACATTACATGTAGGCTCTGCGCTACATGTAATGCAAGTTCCTGTGTGGGTCAATCCAAGACTAATATTGGGTGCACATTCTTGCCCCCTCCATCTGCCACAGAAGGCGCAACTATAGTTCTTCCTACAAGAAAAAAAAATAGTACTTAGAAGGACAGACCTGAATGGAAGAACAGCCTAGTATCTCACCCTTTCGCCAAGAGAGTATGGTCTGCTGGGTAACTTGCCATATCTCTATTGCAGTCTTTCTCCTCCTCCCTATCTGTGTGATGTATGGACTTCCAACTCCCAGAATTCTGTGAGCTGAAGTCTATACATCTCAGAGATGCAGAGAAACACTGCTCTAATGAGACATGTCTTTCAGTAAGGAAAGATGGGGCAATATTCAGCTTCGTCTAAAATCTCTTCGTTTATTGCTCAGTTTTCCTCCAATATTGTCAAACCGATTCCTCTTTTCTACCTCTTCCGTCCAGCCTCTGCTCCTTGTTTTCTTACGTTGTAAGCCTGATGGCAAGAGCTTGTTCCTATCACCATCATTTGACACAACTGTTGTCCTTATAGTTCAAACTGCTTTGAGAGATTATAGTGAGAAAAAAGAGATCAGTCTTCCTACCTATTTATGTCTTTCAAAAGATCTGTACAAACCTAATTGCCATAGTCTAATAATATCAAGGGTACTTCAAATGGTGGGTTGTGTATAAAATCCTTACATATCATCAGTTTCATGCCTGGACATGATTTCCTTGAATGTATCCATTGTAGTTTATCTTGTGCTTAGTATTTGGTATACACATATGGGGAATTCTGCCCTGTTTTGGCTTGTTCAGTAACTGAACTCCACCACTTCAATATATAATTTATCCTTACAATGAGATTCATCCACCCTGTCTTTCAAATGGATTTTCTGAAAATTGTACTAAATAGCTGCAAGCAAGCCACAAGACTTGGCTAAGGAGAATAACACATACTTAAATTTCTGTCCTAATTCATTTGGTTATTCTGATCTCACCCGTCTTAAAAGTGTAGCCCCTGGAACTCTACTCAAAGGCCAAATAGGCCTCACTCCCCAGAGAGTTGAGCATAGAAATGGTCTTCTCAGGGACACTTATGTGCCATGACCATAACTCTCTCCAAGTAGATGGTGTGGCTCCTTTTAGAGAAGTTCATGCTGAGATCCTCTGCAAGGAATTGAGCACTCCAACAAGCAAATCATAGCAACAAGGGGGTGTTATTCTAACGAATTATATAAGGCTCCTTTCTACAGTCTGGTGTCCTACAGGTTACTGAACTTCATCACTTCTGACCAACATGACTGGAGGATAACAGATTGGGCAGGGGGGGTGGGGTTTCCTAGCAAAGATGACAAGAAATACTTCCTTTTAGCTTTAATATAGGCTTAATTAAAATTAAATTACACTAATTACAGTTAATATGATTATTCCATACACATTATTAATGTCCTCTCGTGGGAGCTTGAAAACCTAAGGAGGGTCAGATGTGATTTGTGCTTGGAGGGGACTACTTTCAGGAAAGCCTGCTAATCCTATAGGCTAGACTGGGAAATAAAATTAAGAAATCCCAAATGAAGTTCAGCAAACTACACTGCTCAAAAAAATAAAGGGAACACAAAAATAAGACATCCTAGATCTGAATGAATGAAATATTCTTATTAAATACATTGTTCATTACATAGCTGAATGTGCTGACAACAAAATCACACAAAAATTATCAATGGAAATCAAATTTAGCAAACCGTGGAGGTCTGGATTTGGAGTTACACTCAAAATTAAAGTGAAAAAAAAAACCACTACAGGCTGATCCAACTTTGATGTAATGTCCTTAAAACAAGTCAAAATGAGGCTCAGTAGTGTGTGTGGCCTTCACGTAACTGTATGACCTCCCTACAACTCCTGGGCATGCTCTTGATGAGGTGGTGGATGGTCTCCTGAGGGAATTCCTCCCACACCTGGACTAAGTATCCCCCAACTCCTGGACAGTCTGTGGTGCAACGTGGTGTTGGTGGATGGAGCGAGACAGGATGTCCCAGATGTGCTCAATTGGATTCAGGTCTGGGGAACGGGCGGGTCAGTACATAGCATCAATGCCTTCATCTTGCAGGAACTGCTGACACACTCCAGCCACATGAGGTCTAGCATTGTCTTGCATTAGAAGGAACCCAGGGCCAACTGCACCAGCGTATGATCTCACAAGGGATCTGAGGATCTCATCTTGGTACCTAATGGCAGCCAGGCTACCTCTGGCGAGCATATGGAGGGCTGTGCGGCCCCCTAAAGAAATGCCACCCCACACCATTACTGACCCACTGCAAAACTGGTCATGCTGGAAGATGTTGCAGGCAGCAGAACGTTCTCCATGGCGTCTCCAGACCCTGTCACATTTGTCACATGTGCTCAGTGTGAACCTGCTTTCAAGAGCACAGGGCCTCAGTGGCGAATTTGCCAATCTCGGTGTTCTCTGGCAAATGCCAAACGTCCTGCACGGTGTTGGGCTGTA